TGCATTTACATCTGCAAGACGTATTTAATATGTGAGTGTTTGCTCATCTGCAATACGTCTATTGGACGTTTCCTATCAGATGTCAACTAGACGTTTAGAAGATGTCTTTAAGATGTTTATGATTTAGATTGAATGTAAAACTGACATCTTAAAGACGTCTATCAGATGTTTGTACACAGCAGATGAAGCGATCTTTAACAGACCTCTTGGAGATGTACCTGTGCAATCTGCTGAAAATAACAGCTAAAACCAGCCTACGCTTTAGCTGGTTTAAACTTGAAGTAGCTGGTTTTAGGGAAAGTCAGACAAGGCAAGTACAGCCCCGATGTTTATTGAAGCTGAAAAACTCTTGCAAGAAGGTCTAGTTTGCTTAGCTTATAGGCTGGTTGGCTGGTTTTAGCTGGTTTAAGCTGGAAGTAGCTGGTTTTAGCTGGTCTCCCAGCCTGACCAGCTAAAGAAGTGGCCAAAACCCCTCTAAAACCAGCCTGCTGACCAGCTACGACCAGGCTGGAAGTAAAACCAGCCAACCAGCTTATAAGCAAACTAGAGCTTCTTGCAAGAGTTTTTCAGCTTCAATAAATATCGGTCCTGTACTTGCCTTGTCTGACTTTCCCTAAAACCAGCTACTTCAAGTTAAAAACCAGCTAAGACCAGCTTCAGGGCTGCCAACTTTTAAGTTCAACTTGGAGTGAGAATACCCAAAACCTATATTATGTGTATATTATAATAAATATATTATGTGGTGTCTGACAACTGGACATGCCTAGTAGTTAACGTCATGATGGCACTGCATTTCTATCATAAAAGTATGTAAAGGTATGTTTTGACGCTGGGATGCTGGGATTTGCCAGCACATGACTAGCATAAACCAGCAAAGGACCAGCTTAAACCAGCAAAGGACTAGCTTAAACCAGCAAAGGACCAGCTTAAACCAGCAAAGGACTAGCTTAAACCAGCAAAGGACCAGCTTAAACCAGCAAAGGACTAGCTTAAACCAGCAAAGGACCAGCTTAAACCAGCAAAGGACTAGCTTAAACCAGCAAAGGACCAGCTTAAACCAGCAAAGGACTAGCTTAAACCAGCAAAGGACCAGCTTAAACCAGCAAAGGACTAGCTTAAACCAGCAAAGGACCAGCTTAAACCAGCAAAGGACTAGCTTAAACCAGCAAAGGACCAGCTTAAACCAGCAAAGGACTAGCTTAAACCAGCAAAGGACCAGCTTAAACCAGCAAAGGACTAGCTTAAACCAGCAAAGGACCAGCTTAAACCAGCAAAGGACTAGCTTAAACCAGCAAAGGACCAGCTTAAACCAGCAAAGGACTAGCTTAAACCAGCAAAGGACCAGCTTAAACCAGCAAAGGACTAGCTTAAACCAGCAAAGGACCAGCTTAAACCAGCAAAGGACTAGCTTAAACCAGCAAAGGACCAGCTTAAACCAGCAAAGGACTAGCTTAAACCAGCAAAGGACCAGCTTAAACCAGCAAAGGACTAGCTTAAACCAGCAAAGGACCAGCTTAAACCAGCAAAGGACTAGCTTAAACCAGCAAAGGACCAGCTTAAACCAGCAAAGGACTAGCTTAAACCAGCAAAGGACCAGCTTAAACCAGCAAAGGACTAGCTTAAACCAGCAAAGGACCAGCTTAAACCAGCAAAGGACTAGCTTAAACCAGCAAAGGACCAGCTTAAACCAGCAAAGGACCCGTTTAAACCAGCAAAGGACCAGTTTAAACCAGCATCCCAGCGTCAAAACATACCTAACTAGCATATGCTGTTTTTTTCAATTACGAAAATATTTTATAGACTAAATATTTAGGCTGGTTTTAGCTGTTTTTTGTTTTCCAACTTTTGACTCAAATATTGCATATAAAGCCAGCATCCGAGTTAGTTAAGTATTGCATTACACTGATAAATACATTATTGTTATATTTTGCAGCCTTGCTGCTAGCCTGTTTGTTTATGATGTAATCGATCATTTCTCTTAGCTTTAAGAGTAAAATAAGTATCAGCTTAACTCAGTCGAGGTATTTTACTCAACATAAACAATATTATACGACATTGGGACGCTGGCTGTACATTATTCCTTATATATTTGACAAAACGTTACAAATTAGCTTTTGTTTACGCGCTCTCCGATACACTAGATGGCGCGCTCGATCCGTCAACAGCACGGCATTCGCCGCAGAAGAAGACACACCGCATCTGGAGTGAGTGTAACACTAGCTGCTATTGAGTCTGATGTGAGCTCGAGCAGTTTTCACGAGAGGCCGCTGAGGAGCGCAGCATGGCGGGGCATTTTGAGGAGAGGAGCGGCGTGATCCCGTGTCAGACAGCGTGGGGCTCGTGGTACCAGACCATAGAAGAGGTTTTCATCGAAGTCGGTGTTGCTCCCGGGACTTCAGCTAAAGAGATCACGTGCAGCATCCGGAGCAAACACATCGAGCTGCGCGTGAGAGACCAGCAGATCTTCAAGGTATGGATGAGTTATTATAAGATCCAGACAGGATTGTTTTCAGAGATTAGAGACGTCTTTTTCATTTTTGAGCACACATCTCACCTTCTGCTAACCATACGTTAATGCACATAATTTTTCAACTATGTTATTAAAGATTTTGCGGATTGTTTGTGCTAATATAATATTTTTTGTATTCATTTATTACACATTTCATGTAAACTTGTCCAGTAACGTTGCTTATCAAATGTTTGAAAACATTACCATTTTTAAAAGTCTATTATTATCATCATTTACTATTTTTTCAACTTTATTAATAATAATAAATGTTTGTTGAGCAGCAACATATTATTATGATTTGTGAAGATCACGTGACACTGAAGACTGGAGGAATGATGCTGGAAATTCAGCTTTGCATCACAGAAATAAATTACATTTTAAAATAGATTCACACAGAAAACAGTCATTTTAAATTGTAATAATATTTTAAAATTTTTCTATATATATATATATTATTATTATTTTTTTATTAAATAAATGCAGCCTTGGTGAGCAGAAGAGACTTATTTAAAAAAAAAAAAAATTTTTTTTTAATTATGTTTCCAAACTTTTGTCAAGTGTACTGTAAGTGTGTCTATATAGTTTTTAATTTCTGTTTTAGTTTAAGTTATTTTATGGAAGAAAACATCTGTCACTATTTACGTTCAATTGCAACTTTTTTTTAAAAATCAGCGTTTGTTTGTTTTTTTTAGTTAAATATAAATAATTACAGAAGAAGGCTAATTGTCTGCATGCATAAATGTGCTGAATATTGATGTTTAACAACCGAGCAGAGGAGGTGATGATAGTTTCTCCGAGGAATTCACATCAAAAATAGAAAATGAAATTGCTCTGTCCCGGTCGGACTAAAAACCCCAGTTACTCTGAAGGACCGTTTAGTTATTAGTTGAGTTATTTTGACATATCAGCACAATACATGATCACATGTTTCGGCCTGGATGAGTGGCGTTAAACGTCCCACTGAGGTGCATGCTGCTAATGCAAACTCGGCTACTTCTAATTTATAAACTCAGTTTTCTGTCGTCTCACAGGGGGAGCTGTTTGGACCCACAGTCGGCGAGGAAGCGACGTGGACGTTAGGTGACGCTGAAAGCCACTGAACAAATTCATGTCAGAGTAAATAGTGCATGCATGCAAAAGCTTATGTGTCTGTCGTGCCGTTCAGAGGACAGAAAGTTGATCCGGATCGTCCTGATGAAGTCGAACCGGGAGGCTGGGAACTGCTGGCGGTCTCTGCTGGAGGGCGAGTACGCGGCGGATCCGTGGGTTCAGGATCAGATGCAGAGGAAGCTGACGCTCGAGAGGTTTCAGAGAGAGGTGCGCCGCCGCTTCAGTCGAACGCATGCGAAGGTCTCGCATTAACTAACATTCAGAAGTTTGGAGAGCGTCTACAAAGAGTGTGTTTATTGGATACAGCACTCTTTACGGGAAAACCAGTCATATTTGTACAATTAGTTTTTTGTGTGTTAATGTAATTTATTTCTGTGATCAAAGCTGAATTTTCAGATCACATGATCTTCAGAAATCATTCTAATATGCCGATTTGACAAGAAACATTTCTGATTATCATCAGTGTTGGAAACCGTCGTGCTGCACAATATTTTTGTGGAAAACGTGATACGTTGTATTTTTCAAGATTCAACAAAGATCAAAGGAGCTGCGTTTGTTTTGTAACGTTAATCAAAAGTTCAACATTTATACGGTTACAAAAGATCCGTGTTTTAAATTCTAAACTTTCGATTCATCAGAATTCTGAAAAACAATGTAATGTTACGTTTTTGAGATATAATAAATGCATTATAAAGTGTAATAAAAATAGAAAAGTTACATTTTTCAGTTTGTTTGTTTTTTGGCGGGTGAGCGTACGATAAGGTTCAGTAGTTAATGTTAATTAATGCATTAACTAATAATGAGCAATACATTTGTTACAATTTATTCATCTTTTTTTTTAAACAATGTATTAGTAAATGTTAAATGAATATGAGCTTAGATTAATAAATGCTTTACAAGTATTTTCATTGTTAATGTTAACTAATGTAGTTGAGTAATGTTAACAATCGGAAACTTATTGTAAAGTGTTATAGAGACATATATATATATATAAATAAATAATTCCCCCCCCTCCGTCCCGTTTCCAACAGAACCCTGGATTTGACTTCAGCGGAGCAGAGATCTCTGGGAACTTTCACGGCGGCGGACCAGATTTCTCCAGCTTGCAAAAATAAGAGGACTACTTTCATTCCTGTACTTGATGTAGTCTTACTAAATTGCACCAGTTTTTTTTTTTATTTGTATATTGAATATATTCTGTGTTCCTTCTTCTGGAGACACACATAGGAAGCGCATCACAGCGAGTCTGGCTGCTGCTATAAAGCCATAATATATATATCACAAGCAGCCTTTGCGTCCGTCGAGTCTTTAAGGTGGTTTTAATGTACAAATACCAAGTTTTTTTGTAATGGCCACCACAGTGGTTTTGCTCGGCTTATCCGCTTGAATTTACAAGAAATCATACAATTCAAGGATTTGGATTAAATGCCTCAAACATTACAAACGAGCACTTTACATCTCAATATGTTTTTATTGAAAGGTTCAACTACATCATTTTGAAGCACGCTGCTCTCAACTTCTGTATCGCAACCAAAACAGAGAGGGTCTCAAATTAAATCCGCTTTATTTGTACCACTCGTGGTTTGTGTTGGAGTTAAGTATGAAACAAATGGTCACGGTTACACAAGACTAGTAATAACCAAATGTAAAAGGAGCGTCAGGCTGGTCACTTAGTAAGTAGTTAGGAAATCAAAGCCTGAGTTTCCATAGCCATCCAGATTTCTTAAGCAAAATGGCATAAAAGAAAAGAAAACAAAAACATCTAGTTTCGTCACCTTGGGTAGGAGTGTGCATTACGACAGCTGACAGCCTAGGGTGGGAGTGAAGGGGTTTGGGTCTGTGGTTGTCTTGAATCTCAAAACCCTTCTCCCTCCTCTTCCACACGGTGGACTGAGGACCTAGGCGGTTCTATACTTCATTGCTTTAAACGCGCCGATTCAGATGAACATACTGTTCACGTGCAAGCCTTACATGCTCAAACTCACCCTTGACTAGCAATCAAGACGTGAAATAAATACAATCATGGCAAAAGAGAACAAAGACGGAGGAAAGGGAAAGCAAATTTAGCAGATGTAAAGAAATTAGTGTCGGGCGCTCAACACTAACGGTCTTAGCAAGCGTATTCAGGGATCGTGGGTAGATGGGCGATCTTGTAGTAACTGTGCTTCAGTTGTCTGGTGGTTCGACCCGAAATCATCCATCGCAGTCTCTGGCCGTTTGGCTTCAGGCACTTGGTGGAGGCGTATTCAGCCAGGCATTTAGCCACCAGCTCCCTCATGCAAACCAGGTCTCCAGCTTTAACCTGAAACACAGAATCAACCACAAGACACCATAAAAAAAAAAAAAAAAAGTAGTTTTAAAGTCGGCATTAAGTGAACATTCACCCTATTTTGTAAATGCATGTTATTGATCTTATTCAGTGGTTCATTTGTAATATTTAATCAAAATGTCATAAATGGATCGGAACGACAGATTGCTCTCTGCTGATGAAATCGGTTTTATTTTTTCCCCCAAAAAATTCTGTTTTTTTTAAGTTTAAATTTGAGGATTCCGTTTGGGAATTTAATTTTCTGGACTACATTTTAATGGTTAAATTAAATTTTAGTAATCAAAAAGCACGTCTAATTAATTGAAATCATGACACTTGCACAATTTAATATAAAAAAAAAAAAAGTAACTTTTTTTTCTGGTTATCAGATGAAGGCATAAAAAAAATAAATAAATAAATAAAAATAGTGATGCACGACAGAGGTTTATGGTTCAAACTAAAACATGAAAGAAACACTGATTATTCCTTAAAAATAAAGTTTCAGTAATTATCATCATCGAGACACACGTTCTATTGTGCAACAGAAACATATTTCTCTCTGAAACATGAAAACATCCAGAACATGCAAGATTCATATTTCAATAGTCTTTTTGTGATTTAATATTCACAGACACTAGTCCATATCACAATCTGATTTAAGTGTACCGACCTACTTTTGATTTATTCTTTCAAAATTTGACAAATTCCCTGATATTCTGTGTTATAAAGTAATTTCCACATCACGGAAATCATAGGGCCCTAATATGTGTCCCTGCAGCACAAAAGCAGTGTTGAGTCGCTGGGGGATATTTGTAGCAATAGCCAACAATACATTGTATGGGTCACAATTATAGATTTCTATAATTTAAGATAAGTAAAGATCATGTTACATGAAAATATTTTGTAAATTTCCTACTGTAAAGATATCAAAACTTAATTTGATTAGTAATATGTGCTGGGCGGTATGACAAAAAATTTATATCACGGTATTTTTCAAAATTATACCGGTTTCACGGAACATGACGGTATTTTTTTTTCATGCATGAGCGGGGGTTAACCATTTTCTACTGATTGAGAGGAAATACTGCAGTATATTGACTTAGAATGCCCTATTTTACTGTCATGATGAGTGAATATTGTCAAAAAATACCACACTAAATAGTGACTAAACACGACCCCTTTTAATACATGTTAACCAGGAGTCACTCTCATTTATAATCACAGCATCGTCTGATAAACTCAGCATGCATCTACACTAAAGAGTGGCTATGCGGTTGTTTTGGCTGTATTACTTTATTTGGCAGGGGGCGGTGGATATTTGCGGCGGTCAATGTGGATATGTTCTTCTGTGTCATCACGTTTCAGCTTCAGTTTCTGAACTTTCACGCTTAGTAACACATACAGCTGTTCCCTCACCACAGTGCAGCAGTGAAAAGGGACCCCTTTCAAACAGTGTTGCGTTCCCAACATTGTTTAAGCGACATACACTGGTATTGCGGTATTTTAAAAATTAATCATAACAAAAATAAACACCGGTATTCAGTATGAACCGGTATACCGCCCAGCACTAATTAGTAATATGCATTGCTAAGAACTTCATTTGAACAACTTTAAAGGTGATTTTCTCAATATTCAGATTTTTTTCGGATTCCAGATTTTCAAATAGTTGCATCTCGGTCAAATATGGTCCTATTCTAACAAACCATACATTAATGGAAAGCTTACTTATTCAGCTTTCAGGTAATGTATAAATCTCAATTTAGAGAAATGTACACTTATGACTGGTTTTGTGATCATGTAGGATTTCTCAAATTATTTAGTTCCCTTAAACCCGCCTCCGACTCCATTTCGGAGTGCGACTCCCACATCAACGATCAATACACAGAACCAAGTCCCACCCTACATTTTTTCTGTTTGATAATCCATTAATCTTAGATGCACATCACAAGATCTGTCGCAACTTTCATTGCAACTTTACCAATTTAATATTATTTGATGCACTTGCGTATCGGTTTCTCATTAGATTCAACTCGTTACGCAACGCAGTCCGTCTGCTGTACGCCTCCACCCCATTTCCCAAACAAATAGATCTTTCTAGTAGTAATCTTGCAGGAAACTTACAGTCAAAGTCTCCCGCAGAGCATCCAGAGCCTCTCTGAGAGCAGGAACCGGCTCACACTCGTGCTCATCTTCGATCTCCAGAGCCAGAAGAGACAAAGCAAGCAGCGAAGGCTGGAGAGACAGAATTACAGTCAGACTACAAACGCACTTTGACCGTTTCCAAAGGCTCCAAACAGCTTACCTTGATTTTAGTGAAAGTAAAGGAGCAATGGCAAGCCTTCAACTGAGCCTCCAGCCTCTCGATGTTCAGAATCCGCTTACTGAAGAGAAACATTGATCTTATTTTAATGCAAGCCTATTACACATGGTTTAAACCAAGCTATGGTTGTTTTCGAGAAACGTCCACTACCTTTCAAAAGTTTGGGATCGGTACGATCCTTCTAAATGCCTTTATTTAACAAGGATGCATTAAATTGATCAAAAATGATACCAATTGATGATTCCAGTTTCAAATAAATGCTGTTCTATGGAACTTTCTATTCATCACAGAATCCTAAAAAATAAAGTTTGAGTTTCCACAAAAATAAGTTGTTTTCAACGTTGATAATAATCAGAAATGTTTCTTGAGCAGCAAATCGGCATATTAGAATGATTTCTGAAGATCATGTGACACTGAAGTCTGCTGAAAATTCAGCTTCGATCACAGAAATTACATTTGACTATATATTCACATAGTAAACTTGTTTTTTGAATTGTAAAAATATTATAAAATTTTACTGTGTTTTTGATCAAATTGATGCAGCCTTGGTGAACACGAGAGACATTAAAATCTGACCAACTCCAAACATTTGAATGGAGTCCAGTGGCTCACCTTTCTGCGTCCAGCTGCTCTTGAATGCGAGCGTGAAAGAATCTGAGGAAGTGAAGGGCGGTTGGAGCCTTGGCCTTCCAGTAGAGCTTCTTCAGAATGATCTTCTCCATCCTCATCATGTCGTGGACCGTAAAGCGGTTCTGGCTGATCCTGAGGAGGTCACTGGCCAAAGGAACGCTCTTCTCCTCTTCGGACGTCTTCACGGCGATGTAGAAGCAGCAGAGACCCACACAGGCCAGATGCTTGGGCTGAATCTGAAAACGAGAGAAACGGCATTCAACAGAAACCTACTCGGAAAACACCCGTGATTCATACAGAGAAGGCTGAGGACTGAATATTTAAACACACCTTCATCACAGCCAGGAACCGGTCTAGAAGACTCACAGCGAGGGAGAACGTCTCCGAACTGAAGCCGAAGAACCGTGTCAAGGAGAGAAGGTCTCGGACTTGAAAGTCTCTCAGCTTGACGGTCATTCTCAGACCGTTCTCCGGAGCGGACTCGATGATTCGGAGACCACAGAGTTTGGGCTGATATCTGGCTTCTTGGTCCAGAAGAGCTTTGAGCTGGACGGTAAAGGGCAAAGCCCCTGCTCCGGTCACCTGCTCAATCATCTAAAACAACAAAATATTCAACTAAAACACTATTAAAGATAGTGGATAATTATTTCATCCATGTGCAAATGTAACATGCTGTTGAAAGCTTCTATTATGCGTTTTGCATATAGACACAACAATATACCGTGAAATGCAAACTCTGCGCTACCAGTACGATAAAGTAACGGCAATTAAAGTAACGGAGTTAGTGTAATCATAACACACGTCTGAATGGAACTTCCAAAAATACCTCATTTCGGACTTTCAACATTAAAGCTCGTAAAAGGATCAAACTATTTGTAAAGATAGCCCATGTTATCACGGTAACCATGTAACGTTACAACCCTTAGGTCTGAATACATGTCTGGGCATGTCCACTAACCAGATTTCAGCCCCGTTAAAACCATTTGGTTTTATGTCAGTCTTCTCTAAATAACTTTAACTCCATATATTCACACTTTTACACTTTAAACCTAATTTCCAAGCCATTTATTTTATGTTTAGCGTTCGCAATGTATCGAGTCTTGTGTTGTTCTCCACCGCCGTGAAACATTTAAACGATTTTTCATAGACGACACCGTAACGTGGTTTTTACATTAAAAAAACATAACTAACAACAATACGTCAAAGAACTGGTCACCTTTCATAGATTTCACTGTGTTCTTAAAAACTAAAAAAAAAGACGAATCTGTGAGTTCATGAAATAAAATGCAAAATAAAGTTATTAAAAAGAAAGTTCCAAGCATGTAAGTTTAAAGCAATATAACTTCTGCGCCCTGCACACCCCAAACCCTCGGCGTCAGGCAGTGACGCACATGCTGCTTCCATGCTTTATACTCGGAGAAATCCATATCCAAACATAGAAGCACCTTATTGGGCAGTGCTCACACAGAGCTCCGTCTTTCTGAATGCCTATTGGTTCGGGTTTGTCTGTAGGCGTTGACCAAGCCCCCACACGCCGGGGAGAGGTGGGGTTTACGTGCTTGGTGCTTCCCAAACCTGTCCTGCAGGCCCCCCTGCCCTGCAACTTTTGTATGTTTCCCTTATCTAACACACCTGATTCCACTCATCAGCTCATCAGTAGAGACTGCAAGAACTAAATTGGGTGTGTCTGATTAGGGAGGCATACAAAATGTGCAGGGCAGGGGGTCCTCCAGGGCAGGTTTGGTAGATATTCAGCGCACTCCTGTGAAACAAGCTAAAAAACAAACTTTAAAAGTATTAAATCACCACCATAACTGCTTAGAAACGTTTGAATGTTACATATGATATGATATGATATGATATGATATATGATATGATATTATATTATTATAACTAAATGGTACAACAACCTGTGATCAAAACCCAATGTGTTAATTCAAAACCAGCAACAACACAAAAACAATAGTATCAGTTAACCTCACAAACATATATGCATGCATGCATACATACATACATACCTGCATGCATATAGGCTACATAAACAAACACTTATTAATTGAAGCAGTAAACATTCAGTTAATGGAAAAAGACAGAATTATGTTGTTTTGTCTTGTGCCAATGAATCTGAATCAAGTCATCTGGTTTAATTGCTTACTGTGGCTATGGAGCATGCAGAGTGAGGATTGAAGGCACAAAGGAAAAAATAATACACATAATAATATAATATAATACAATGCAATAGGCTACAATACAATATAATAGTATGATATCCTCCTGACAACCAGAAAAAAATGGATTGAAGGCACAAAGGACACATATATAATCTAATATACAGTGGTGTGAAAAAGTGTTGGCCCCCTTCCTGATTTCTTATTTTTTTGCATGTTTGTCACACTTTAATGTTTCAGATCATCAAACAAATTTAAATATTACACAAAAAATGAAAGAAAAAGCTCAATCTTAGCTGTTTAAATCTATTTAATCCATGTATTTATCTATTTATATAATATAATATTATTCTGTAATGTTCAATTATGTAATTGAACATTACAGAATAATTCAAAAACAAAATGAGAGCAATACTGTAATAACTCGTTCTGATCCTATTGTGCTTGAGATTAATTTAATCTCCTAGAATCTTCTAAAGGTTCCAACATTTGGCTAAAACAACAAAACATCTGAATATAATACATATGCACTGTGGCAATGACTCTCATGGTCAAGCAAACAATCATATAAAGAAATAGATAAGAAAAGAAACACAAATTGTCTGAGGACAGTCAACAGTTATAAGCACATTCTCCAGATTCAGACATAGTCTGTAAAGATAAGCAGGATGAAAAGAAAGGAAACTGAAATATTTATAAGATGTTTGCAATAGTCGGAATGAAGAAGTAATGTCTGTGTTGATATTATAAAACAAATGTACTATTTTTGATGGCTTAATGTTTCAGTACCAACAGATGGCGCCAAACATATCAACTTAACTGCAGAAACCTTCACACCAAAAGCAAAGCACTCGACATTTTCAATGCAAAGAGCATTTATATGCATCTTACAAGCATGCTGAGATCCTTTTTAGCATTTGCTATAAACATGGATAATCGTGCTGCATCTTTCACAGCTACATGACAATCTGACAGCTTTGATGCTCAATTTATTCCAAGATGGTCCAAAAAGCGAGATCCCCCCCAGAGCCAAGGGTTATAGACCTGCCTTTTTCACAAGCTTTCCCTCGGGATCCTTTTAACCCAGTGCCTAGTTACAAAACTGAGCTTCGGCGAGCTTGAGGGGTATGAAATAGGTCTAGCTTACCCCGTTTAATGGGCTGTGCAGGAAAACAGCATGGGAGGCCATCGAATGTATAAATACATATTCCTCATATATGTGCATGCATAACCTGCCATAATTGTAGCTGCTAATTAAGGATGCTACTGTATGCTGCACGTGGCTCCTGCAGACCATGGCTGATCAATATGCCAAACGGATGCAGGGCTGATTTGAGAATGCTTAATTATTTCCTCCTGATTAAATATTCAGATGTTTAAATAATCCTCTATTATAAAATGGGGCAGTGCACTTTAAGCCCCCTGTTGCCTTGTTTGGGTGGCAAAGCAAGCGTACTCACAGTCACAGCTTGAGCAGGAGACCATACAAGAATCCTGCTGTTTGGAGCACATGGCTCATTATTGAGATTCATCTGTAGCACTTTATTTTGCCGGAAAGCTTGGCAAGCTGACATTAAGACTTCAGGCCACGACTGAACTGAAAATGCTTGACGTAAACATGGCTGATTTGACGGCACCTGACCACGCACATAGTGAGGGAAGCTAAGCAGGTAAACCTGAAGCCCTGATACAAGACAGGAGTCTTTCAGTTGCCTAATTTTAAGGGTGTTTTAAGCACAATGCAGAGAATATAAGCAGCCAGATTACACCTTCCACTTACACATTCAGCGAAACAGAAAACAGAATGAATGAAATGAATAAAAAGCTCTATAACTGATGAATATCAACATCAATAGCTACTCTTTGGATAGGTTATTTCCTAATGTGTTATTTATAATATAGCATCCTAATAATATTTCACAATATTAAAGTTGTTACCGTATTTTTGATCAAATAAATGCAGCCTTGGTGAGCAGAAGAGACCTCTTTCAAAAATAACCATCTCATGAATTTGTTGCAGCAGCTCTATGAATATTTTGCACACTCTATGTCCAAATGTAAGGGAAAAGAAAAACCTTCTTACATCATACATGCCCATGTCTTTCTGCTGCACTTGAGTCTCCTAGATGACATTTAGAATACAGCATCACACTGTGAAGGATTTCCAAACATTTCCCTCAGCTGTTGTAACCATCCTGCAGCCGGAATAGAAGTCTAACAGCACTCCTTTTTTTGTTTTCCAAAGGAGTGCAAAAGGCTGACAGCCCTCCTGAGTGGAGTGTGACAGAGGCGCGCTCTGATCCGCACAGCAGGCAGTGCCAGCCATTCGCCAAGTGAAGGTCTGCTGTGTCAGCCTCAATCTGTCTCTGTATCCTCGGCCGTGCCAACACACAGTCTGCCAAGCTGCCATGATGCTACAGTTTTGGAGCGCACTTATCCAGGCCCTTCTCTCCAGGCCTCACAAGCAAACAGGAGCAGCCTCACAATGATTCACACGTCAATATAAAGAGAGAGAATGCCACATATTTGCCCGTATACTAAAGGTCTTTATTGTGTGCAAAAGCCATACTCATTTTGGTAATTGGTAACTTTAGGTACAGTTATGTAAATATTCTGGATTTATTAACATTGGAAAGATAGTAAGAGCAAACTGATGTGCATTTCTGTTGTGAATTTTACACTCTAAAAAATGCTGGGTTAAAAATAACCCAGCGCTGGGTCAAAAGAACCCAACAAGTGGGTCAAAACAACCCAACAAGTGGGTCAAAACAACCCAATAGCTGGGTCAAAACAACCCAACAAGTGGGGCAAAACAACCCAATAGCTGGGTCAAAACAACCCAACAAGTGGGGCAAAACAACCCAATAGCTGGGTCAAAACAACCCAACAAGTGGGGCAAAACAACCCAATAGCTGGGTCAAAACAACCCAACAAGTGGGGCAAAACAACCCAATAGCTGGGTCAAAACAACCCAACAAGTGGGGCAAAACAACCCAATAGCTGGGTCAAAACAACCCAACAAGTGGGGCAAAACAACCCAATAGCTGGGTCAAAACAACCCAACAAGTGGGGCAAAACAACCCAATAGCTGGGTCAAAACAACCCAACAAGTGGGGCAAAACAACCCAATAGCTGGGTCAAAACAACCCAACAAGTGGGGCAAAACAACCCAATAGCTGGGTCAAAACAACCCAACAAGTGGGGCAAAACAACCCAATAGCTGGGTCAAAACAACCCAACAAGTGGGGCAAAACAACCCAATAGCTGGGTCAAAACAACCCAACAAGTGGGGCAAAACAACCCAATAGCTGGGTCAAAACAACCCAACAAGTGGGGCAAAACAACCCAATAGCTGGGTCAAAACAACCCAACAAGTGGGGCAAAACAACCCAATAGCTGGGTCAAAACAACCCAACAAGTGGGGCAAAACAACCCAATAGCTGGGTCAAAACAACCCAACAAGTGGGGCAAAACAACCCAATAGCTGGGTCAAAACAACCCAACAAGTGGGGCAAAACAACCCAATAGCTGGGTCAAAACAACCCAACAAGTGGGGCAAAACAACCCAATAGCTGGGTCAAAACAACCCAACAAGTGGGGCAAAACAACCCAATAGCTGGGTCAAAACAACCCAACAAGTGGGGCAAAACAACCCAATAGCTGGGTCAAAACAACCCAACAAGTGGGGCAAAACAACCCAATAGCTGGGTCAAAACAACCCAACAAGTGGGGCAAAACAACCCAATAGCTGGGTCAAAACAACCCAACAAGTGGGGCAAAACAACCCAATAGCTGGGTCAAAACAACCCAACAAGTGGGGCAAAACAACCCAATAGCTGGGTCAAAACAACCCAACAAGTGGGGCAAAACAACCCAATAGCTGGGTCAAAACAACCCAACAAGTGGGGCAAAACAACCCAATAGCTGGGTCAAAACAACCCAACAAGTGGGGCAAAACAACCCAATAGCTGGGTCAAAACAACCCAACAAGTGGGGCAAAACAACCCAATAGCTGGGTCAAAACAACCCAACAAGTGGGGCAAAACAACCCAATAGCTGGGTCAAAACAACCCAACAAGTGGGGCAAAACAACCCAATAGCTGGGTCAAAACAACCCAACAAGTGGGGCAAAACAACCCAATAGCTGGGTCAAAACAACCCAACAAGTGGGGCAAAACAACCCAATAGCTGGGTCAAAACAACCCAACAAGTGGGGCAAAACAACCCAATAGCTGGGTCAAAACAACCCAACAAGTGGGGCAAAACAACCCAATAGCTGGGTCAAAACAACCCAACAAGTGGGGCAAAACAACCCAATAGCTGGGTCAAAACAACCCAACAAGTGGGGCAAAACAACCCAATAGCTGGGTCAAAACAACCCAACAAGTGGGGCAAAACAACCCAATAGCTGGGTCAAAACAACCCAACAAGTGGGGCAAAACAACCCAATAGCTGGGTCAAAACAACCCAACAAGTGGGGCAAAACAACCCAATAGCTGGGTCAAAACAACCCAACAAGTGGGGCAAAACAACCCAATAGCTGGGTCAAAACAACCCAACAAGTGGGGCAAAACAACCCAATAGCTGGGTCAAAACAACCCAACAAGTGGGGCAAAACAACCCAATAGCTGGGTCAAAACAACCCAACAAGTGGGGCAAAACAACCCAATAGCTGGGTCAAAACAACCCAACAAGTGGGGCAAAACAACCCAACAGCAGGGGCAAAACAACCCAACCATTGGGTTAAATATAACCTAGCGCTGGGTTAAAAAGGGACAACCCAGTGGTTGGGGTCAAAACAACCCAATAGCTGGGTCAAAACAACCCAACAAGTGGGGCAAAACAACCCAACAGCTGGGTCAAAACAACCCAACAAGTGGGGCAAAACAACCCAACAAGTGGGGCCAAACAACCCAACAAGTGGGTCAAAACTACCCAATAGCTGTAATAATATTCTTATTATTACAGCTATAATAATATTCTTATATATAATATATAATAATATTCAATAATATTCTTTTCATGCCACATTTAAAGGAATAGTTCACCTAAAAATTTGATGACAGTTTTCTTCATCTGAACATCAGTGTCTCAGCAATGGATGCTCTGCAGTGAATGGGTGCCGTCAGAATGAGAGTCCAAACAGCTGATAAAGACATCGCAGTATTTCACTTTTAAGTAATTCTCAAGTTTTTAACAAACGTTAGAAAGCCAGAACAGCTCTAAACAAATATGTGGGTTGATTTTGATGTGAGAGACAACAGGAGATGGACTTTTTCCACCGGAAGAAACCTTATTATGGATTATGGACTTATTATGGATTTGACCCGAAGCAACCGTTTTAAAGTTATAATATCGCAGCTTTTCAACCTTACATATTCATGAATTGCTAAAAATGCAATTTCTATATTCAAATGCTAAAAAGTATGTTTCATTCTTCAGATTGGATAGTTTTTGGTTCATGTTTACAGTATTATATAAGGGGAAAGAAAGAATAAATGATGTAGAGTTGGTGAATATAGTCATTGTATAGTTTGGCTTTTTTTCAGTAATCATTTTAAATTGAAAGTTATCGCCAGTTTTGTTTTGATTAAATCATCTTTTGTTGTAAATAATGACCAGTTGTTACTGGTCTTAGTCATCTTAGTCTGAACGTTGTGTGTGTGTTTTTTCTGTGTGAGACAGACAGACGGATAGACAGACAGACAGACAGACAGACAGACAGACAGACGGATAGACAGAGGGATAGACAGACAGACAGCTAGATAGACGGATAGACAGACAGACAGACAGACAGACGGATAGACAGAGGGATAGACAGACAGACAGCTAGATAGACAGACAGACAGAGTTGTAAATAATGACCAGTTGTTACTGGTCTTAGTCATCTTAGTCTGAACGTTGTGTGTGTGTTTTTTCTGTGTGAGACAGACAGACGGATAGACAGACGTATAGACAGACAGACAGACAGACAGACGGATAGACAGAGGGATAGACAGACAGACAGCTAGATAGACAGACAGACAGAGGGATAGACAGACAGACAGCTAGATGGATAGACAGACAGACAGACAGACAGAGGGATAGACAGACAGACAGACGGATAGACAGAGGGATAGACAGACAGACAGCTAGCTAGACAGACAGACGGATAGACAGACAGCTAGATAGACAGAAAGACAGAGGGATAGACAGACAGACAGCTAGATAGACAGACAGACAGACGGATAGACAGACAGCTAGATAGACAGACAGACAGACAGAGGGATAGACAGACAGACAGAGGGATAGACAGACAGACAGCTAGATAGACAGACAGATAGACAGAGGGATAGACATACAGACAGACGGATAGACAGACAGACAGCTAGATAGACAGACAGATAGACAGAGGGATAGACATACAGACAGACGGATAGACGGACAGACAGCTAGATAGACAGACAGATAGACAGAGGGATAGACAGACAGACAGAGGGATAGACAGACAGACAGCTAGACAGACAGACAGACAGAGGGATAGACAGATAGACAGACAGACAGACAGAGGGATAGACAGACAGACAGCTAGATAGACAGACAGAGAGATAGACAGATAGACAGAGAGATAGACAGATAGACAGAGAGATAGACAGATAGACAGAGAGATAGACAGATAGACAGAGAGATAGACAGATAGACAGAGAGATAGACAGATAGACAGAGAGATAGACAGATAGACAGAGAGATAGACAGATAGACAGAGAGATAGACAGATAGACAGAGAGATAGACAGATAGACAGAGAGATAGACAGATAGACAGAGAGATAGACAGATAGACAGAGAGATAGACAGATAGACAGAGGGATAGACAGACAGACAGCTAGATAGACAGACAGATAGACAGACAGCTAGATAGACAGACAGACTGATGGATAGACAGACAGACAGATAGACAGAGGGATAGACAGACAGACAGATAGAGGGATAGACAGACAGACAGATAGAGGGATAGACAGACAGACAGACTGACGGATAGACAGACAGATAGATAGAGGGATAGACAGACAGACAGCTAGATAGACAGACAGACAGAGGGATAGATAGACAGACAGACAGCTAGATAGACAGACAGACAGACAGCTAGATAGACAGACAGACAGAGGGATAGACAGACAGACAGACAGCTAGATAGACAGACAGACAGACAGCTAGATAGACAGACAGATAGATAGAGAGATAGACAGACAGACAGAGGGATAGACAGACAGATAGACAGCTAGATAGACAGACAGATAGATAGAGAGATAGACAGACAGACAGAGGGATAGACAGACAGATAGACAGCTAGATAGACAGACAGACAGACAGACAGACAGAGGGATAGACAGACAGACAGACAGACAGCTAGATAGACAGACAGACAGACAGCTAGATAGACAGATAGACAGACAGACAGACAGATAGATAGAGAGATAGACAGACAGACTGACGGATAGACAGCTAGACAGACAGACAGATAGATAGATAGATGGATAGGTAATTTATTTGCTCGGATTAAAAATTAATGCAACATACTTTCTTTCTTAAACTGTAAAGATATTAAACAGCGCCCTCCAGTGAAGTCTTTTTCACAGACGGATTTTCTCAGACTTTTATTTTGAAAGTAAGGATCAGGACATTTATTCTAAAATTCACAACTCTTCTCCCGGATGTTGTTTCTTCCTCCCAATGGTAAAACATACGGGACCTATCATTCATTGTTTTCTAAATGAAAGATATGTGTTTGAGACAGGTCATATTTCTGCTAGATCGACATTACTTGTAGTTTTTGGCTTGTATGCTTACAGGAACACCTGACTGTTTAATTCAGAAATAACTATACAAGACCCTTGTAGACGAAACATTGCTGTGTGTGCTCAGCAAACATGCCTCTCGGTCTAAAACCATGCTGCGCTGTCTGCAAGACCAACTCTTCCTCCATGTGGAAAAAAGGCAGCCAGGGGGAGATTTTGTGTAACAGCTGCGCGAGTAAAAGCACAAGCAGCGGCGGCTCCGGAGCATCTGCTTCCTCCAGCATCCAGCAGAATAACGGCGGAGGGAAACAGGTCTGAAGACTTGCTTAAAAACTAGCTTTGTAGCGTAGGATTTGTGTAACTTCTCATTTAGTCTAATAGCGACACGACGCATTTGAATACTAAAATTTGCGGTCAGAATAATGATTTACTGAAAGTGCACGACTCCGCTCCATAGTTCCGTTTTTTTGTTGTTGCTTAAAGGGGTCATATGATGCGATTTCAATGTTTCCTTAATCTTTGGAGTGTTACAAGCTCTTGGTGCATAAAGAAGATCTGTAAAGTTGCAAACACTAAACTCTCAAATCCAAAGAGATATTCTTTATAAAAGTTAAGAGTCAGCCACGCCTACCTAAAACGCCTCGTTCTAACACGCCCCCACATATCTACCTCACTATGTGGAAATATTAGCATAATGCCGCCCAAATGTTCACGCAAAGAGAGAAGGGGTAACTTTTAGTCTCACTGTAGTATTGTTGCCGCCGCCGCCGCCATGTCGGGGAGGCGCTGTGTGCTTCGTTGTGAAAGCAAAACTACTTTGTTTGGTCTTCCAAAAGAGGACGATATCCGCTTCGTCATGCCTAGAGCTGGTCACTGAGGGAATACATCAACTATCACCATGGACGAAGCGGAATCCAGCCCGGGGTCCGTCACATGTGATTGCCGCTCATTCGTCGGATCCGCCGGGCGCGCCGTTCTCGACCCCACCGCCTCAGGGCACTCTATCCCGGCCTCAGCTCACTCTATCCCGGCCTCAGCTCACTCTAGCCCGGCCTCAGCTCACGTTAAGCCGGGGCTTCCCCGCACGCTAGGCCGCTGTGTTTTTCGTTGTGAAAGCGAAACTACTCCCTTTAAAATATTTTACGGTTATAGAATTTAGAAACATTTTATATATAGAAACGTCATTTTGAGGGGAAAAAAACCCCCGGAAATTATGTACACCCGTAACAGTCTTCTGGTTTCTACATGGAGCAGGTTGCCCACATTTGAGCGCCGCCATGTTGACATAATAATTGTCAAGCGATTACTATCATATTTTTTTATTTTATAGTTCCCCCACTGTAGTTGTTCTAATGAAGATAATTTGAACTATTGTTTAGTTGTTTATATGCATGTTTGTTTTTGTGATTTTATATATATATATATATATATATATATATATACACACAGTGGGGAAATTCTTTAAAAATCCTACAATGTGATTTTCTGGATTTTTTTTTCTCATTTTGTCTCTCATAGTTGAGGTATACCTATGATGAAAATTACAGGCCTCTCTCATCTTTTTAAGTGGGAGAACTTGCACAATTGGTGGCTGACTAAATACTTTTTTTCCCCACTGTATATACACAAGTTTTTTTTCTCTCTCTTCTCTTAAATGCTATCTTACAGATTAAGATTGTTCTTTTTTCTTGTGTATGTGGACTTAATTGTTCAAATCTATTATAATGTTCAATCATTTGTACAATAAAAAAATTTAAGAACCATATCTTATTAGTTTTGTTTAAAAAGGGGGATGACTTATGTTAAGTTGACTTATGTGTCGTACTGATCATCTGTTGATTCCTCGTGCCTGAGAAGTGTATGCGGCAGTTAGAATGAGCGAGAGTCAGTAAAAAATGTTTACTTTACATAACGTTATACACAGCTTAAACAAAACCAGTGATACTACCCTCTTTATGTTATAGTCCAAACATGAAATCCACAGACGCTCCGCTCGGTTACGGAGCACCAAGTACAAAGCTCCAGCATCGGAGAAGAAAGTCTCGACCAAAGGAAAGGGTAGACGACACATTTTCAAATTGAAAAATGTAAGTGTTTTCCATTCAGGGTCGTTTATGAGTGTTTTCTTCCTCTAATATCTATGTGGGTTAAAGGAATGAAAATGTACTCACTCTCAGGCCATCCCCAGAGTTTGTTTCTTCATCAGATTTGGAGAAATGTAGCAATGGATGCAATGCAGTGAATGGGTGCCGTCAGAATGAGAGTCCAAACAGCTGATAAAAACATAACAATAATCCACAAGTAACCACAGCACTCCAGTCCATCAGTTAACATCTCGTGAAGCCAAAAGCTGAAACTAATCCAGCACTTTTTAACTTAAAACCATTGCTTCTGGCTAAAATGAGTCCTCTGCAGAGCATCCATTGCTGAGACACTGATGCAATGCTACATTTCTCCAAATCTGATGAAGACACAAACCCATCCTAATCTCGGATGGCCTGAGGATGAGTACATTTTAAGCAAATTTAAATTTTTCGGTGAACTGTGGTAGTAAAATGCAATGGCATTTATGTTACCTTCTTTAAAATTTCCACAGCCTATCAAAGCACCAGAGTCTGTGTCAACGATTATCACATCAGAGTCCATGTTTTACAAGGTAATCGCACCTTTCTACTGTTCAAAATGCTTGTTTAAAGTGTTTTTCTGCCTGTTTCTATTCACTAAACTACACGTCTTGTGTTCAGGGCGTCTATTATCAAACAGGAGATGTCATTAAAGTAACAGACGAGGACGACGGTAAGCCGTATTACGCACAGATTCGTGGTTTCGTCCAGGACCAGTACTGTGAGAAAAGTGCTGCGTTAACTTGGCTGATCCCGACTCAGGCCAGTCCTCGAGATCGCTTTGATCCTGGCACATACATTGTAGGTAAGTTCATGCAGAAATACTGTGTTTTTGTTCCTTGCTGACTAGGGGTGTGCAATATCTATGATAATACCGTAATTGTTTTAACAGTATGTGAGCTGATATTATGGAGTGTGTCACTCACTTTGCAAAAAACAAACAAAAACCAGTCCAAAAGCATTCACTGCGTGATGAAGCCTATTAGAATGCAGTTAAAATCACCCTATAATTCAAGTTATGAAAGCAAAATATATCCCCGTATGGGTTTTTGTTTGTATATTTATAAGATATGATATAGTTATGTAATAACACACAAGCAAGAGTGGTGTTTTCCTGAATATTAGCGCGTGTGATTGCAAATGTGATATTAAAATTCTATAACAATTCAAAAAATAATAAGATCATATCGAGTGAGCTACATTTGACACATAATATTGTGTCTTTTTCTATCAATCAAAGCCGGAGCAGAACATCTGTGCGTCTTTATTTCTGAATGAATCTGTTTTCAACGAATCATTTTAGTCAGTGATTCAATGAGCCGTTCATAAAAACAGCCAGTTTCTTTACTTGTAAATAGCGGTGTGCGATATTGACAAAAAAAAGAATATCTCAATATTTTATGGGATTTTATCAATAATGATAATTAGACGATGTTTTGCTGAGTGTGTTATTGTGCTGGTACCTTAAGCACTGCCGAAGACAGCTGACTCCTAAAGCTTTTAATATTCTTCATATTCTGTGTGCTGGTCAGTTCATACTGAGAGAAATTAATCTTTTCCAATAAGTTTAAACTGATTTTTACATTTTATGGACATTTTTACCTTTATAAAGCCATTTTTTCTAAAAGCGTGCATTATCTTTTGAGTGAAATTCTCACATTTAATCAGTGAATTAGAGTAATAAGACATTTGGGCTGTTACCGAGCAAATTAAATCAACACAGAAGCTGCATCTGAAGTGGCATTTAGATGTGTTTACACACTGTTTAATGCAAGACATAAAAGCATTTAACCTGCAATTACAAATGCATAAATAACATTTTGATATATTAAACATAAAACGTTGAATACTGATATTTAAATAATAAAAGATACATTGAAATTAAAACTGCCAGTAGGTGGCAGCAAGTCACTGTTAAGAAGTGAGTCATTGCGATTGATCCGAATCATTTAAACGAGTGATTCATTCAGGAACGAAACGCACAGACGCAAAACAAGCGCTGTGGCTGCGTTTGGAATTATTTTTGTTGTCGAAAACGGGCAATATGGTGTCTAAAACGTAAGTCTCTTAATTAACTTCTTGTTTATTGAACTGTTGTAAAAAAAAATCAATATCACATTTGTAATCATGGTAATATTTGGAGAAAAACGGCACTCTTCGTGTGAAATTGACTGATATTATGGAGTGTGTCACTCACTTTGCAAAAAACAAACAAAAACCAGTCCAAAAGCATTCACTGCGTGATGAAGCCTATTAGAATGCAGTTAAAATCACCCTATAATTCAAGTTATGAAAGCAAAATATATCCCCGTATGGGTTTTTGTTTGTATATTTATAAGATATGATATAGTTATGTAATAACACACAAGCAAGAGTGGTGTTTTCCTGAATATTAGCGCGTGTGATTGCAAATGTGATATTAAAATTCTATAACAATTCAAAAAATAATAAGATCATATCGAGTGAGCTACATTTGACACATAATATTGTGTCTTTTTCTATCAATCAAAGCCGGAGCAGAACATCTGTGCGTCTTTATTTCTGAATGAATCTGTTTTCAACGAATCATTTTAGTCAGTGATTCAATGAGCCGTTCATAAAAACAGCCAGTTTCTTTACTTGTAAATAGCGGTGTGCGATATTGACAAAAAAAAGAATATCTCAATATTTTATGGGATTTTATCAATAATGATAATTAGACGATGTTTTGCTGAGTGTGTTATTGTGCTGGTACCTTAAGCACTGCCGAAGACAGCTGACTCCTAAAGCTTTTAATATTCTTCATATTCTGTGTGCTGGTCAGTTCATACTGAGAGAAATTAATCTTTTCCAATAAGTTTAAACTGATTTTTACATTTTATGGACATTTTTACCTTTATAAAGCCATTTTTTCTAAAAGCGTGCATTATCTTTTGAGTGAAATTCTCACATTTAATCAGTGAATTAGAGTAATAAGACATTTGGGCTGTTACCGAGCAAATTAAATCAACACAGAAGCTGCATCTGAAGTGGCATTTAGATGTGTTTACACACTGTTTAATGCAAGACATAAAAGCATTTAACCTGCAATTACAAATGCATAAATAACATTTTGATATATTAAACATAAAACGTTGAATACTGATATTTAAATAATAAAAGATACATTGAAATTAAAACTGCCAGTAGGTGGCAGCAAGTCACTGTTAAGAAGTGAGTCATTGCGATTGATCCGAATCATTTAAACGAGTGATTCATTCAGGAACGAAACGCACAGACGCAAAACAAGCGCTGTGGCTGCGTTTGGAATTATTTTTGTTGTCGAAAACGGGCAATATGGTGTCTAAAACGTAAGTCTCTTAATTAACTTCTTGTTTATTGAACTGTTGTAAAAAAAAATCAATATCACATTTGTAATCATGGTAATATTTGGAGAAAAACGGCACTCTTCGTGTGAAATTGATTATTAGCTATATGAAATGGTATAAATATATAAATTTTCTGCCATCATGTCTTGAATTTGGGATCATTGTAAATGCATTGTAATAGACTGAATCATGCGGTGAAAGAACGCACTCTAAATGCTCACTAGTCTAGACTTCACGTAATGTACGCGTGCGCTCTGTAGGGGTGTTTTGAATGGTTTTTGCAAAATACTCGATAATGTCAAATCGCACATCGTTAAAACAACAATTACGATATTATCGCAGATGATATATTTCACACCACACCCCTACTTGTAAATGAACTTTGAACAAATTGTTTGAATGGATGATTCAACGAATCACTCATTAAGGGACTTGCTGCTGCCACCTACTGGCGGTTTTAGTTTTTGGGGGGAAAAAATCAAAAAAAAATTTAAATAGATTTTTTCAGTATTGCACACCCCTATTGCTGACACACATGCTGTAAAATTATTAAACTGTTAAGACGCACTGAATGCATTTATTATGAAAAGCCAGCGGCCAGAATATGAAAGCAAACACAGCTGACAAAAAAAAGTTTCCTGTAAAGTAAAATGAAAGATTAAAGTTAAGAGAAAAAGTTTCCACATGCGAGGCATTTGTGTAGATGATGTGTTGCACAATTCGGTGTGGGTTCAGGATAGTCATAAATGCTGAATTCCTTTCCGTTCTGTGTCTTATTTGTCTTTCTTGCTCTCTGGTTCCTCCTCCTCCTCCTCCTCATCCTCATGTGGCTGCTCTTCTTCAGGAGCCTCCTGCAGGAGTGTCTTCGGTTCCTCGGGCTTCTCTCCTTTGCTAAATTTCTTACATCTCTGGAACATCTCATTTAGGTTGAACTCTCGAATTATATTTTCCTGTAAAACACACAAATGCATGTTGAAGTGAGAGGAATAGCGAATTGCTTTGTTAGGTAAACTCAGTCTAGAGTAGTGCTTGTTGTTTGTCATTTCTCCGATTTAAAATTATTAAACTTTAAGACGCACTGAATGCATTTATTATGAAAAGCCAGCGGCCAGAATATGAAAGCAAACACAGCTGACAAAAAAAAGTTTCCTGTAAAGTAAAATAAAAGATTAAAGTTAAGAGAAAAAGTTTCCACATGCGAGGCATTTGTGTAGATGATGTGTTGCACAATTCAGTGTGGGTTCAGGATAGTCATAAATGCTGAATTCCTTTCCGTTCTGTGTCTTATTTGTCTTTCTTGCTCTCTGGTTCCTCCTCCTCCTCATCCTCATCCTCATGTGGCTGCTCTTCTTCAGGAGCCTCCTGCAGGAGTGTCTTCGGTTCCTCGGGCTTCTCTCCTTTGCTAAATTTCTTACATCTCTGGAACATCTCATTTAGGTTGAACTCTCGAATTATATTTTCCTGTAAAACACACAAATGCATGTTGAAGTGAGAGGAATAGCGAATTGCTTTGTTAGGTAAACTCAGTCTAGAGTAGTGCTTGTTGTTTGTCATTTCTCCGATCACAAATGCAGACATGGTTTTATGTTTACGCGATGCAATGTAACACATAAAAAGACAGTATAAGTCATTATAATCAGTAATTATGTCTCCACTGGATGCAACAAATGCCTCGTTTATAATGAGTTTTAATGTTTTTGTCTTGTCGCTCGGCCGGACATGGCATCACAGTATGGTGAGGGGCGTAACATTTCCGTCACACGCTTGAGGTATTCAGCCAATCACAACGCACTGGATAGCTGGCCAATCACAGCACACCTCGCTTTTCAGACCGATGAGCTTTGTAAAAATCAACGTGTTTCAGAAAGGCGGGGCATAGAGGAGAAACAATAATGTACAGTATGTGGAAAATAATGTGTTTTTTAAACTTTAAACCACATAAACACATTTCATTACACCAAATACACAAAATAATGTTCTTTTTAGCAGCATCATATGACCCCTTTAATATAGAGGCTAAGTTTATGCAACTGGCCCCTGATTACATAATCCAGATTACATGTAATCCCTTGCTGCATCTTTCTCAAGAGTGTCAGACTTCTGAAGCGCTTTACCTCAGTGCAGTTCCACCCAACGGCTCGTCCCTTCATGTCCACTAGCGGGCGGCGCATGAGTTCTCGACCGCCTTGCAGGAGCAACAGAGAAGGCAGCTGCTTGCAGAGCGGCGAGGGGTTTACCTTATACCTGTAATGAGATGAGAGCATAGGACTGCAAAGTTAAAAGCAACTAGTAAGGCAAGTGCTAAAAGGAAGACACTAGGCAAATAGACTCACCTCTCGGCAGCTGCTGCATATTGTCCAATGTCCACTTTTCCAAATTTGAGGCCTAAGCAGTCATACCTAGAGAACATAGAGTCATTAACCTCGTGAAGACGTGCGAGAGTGCAAGTGTGTGTGACTTACTTGAGTGACAGGTCAGCAAAAATAGGAGCAAATGTCTGACACTCTGGAGACCAGTTGGCATAAAACTCAACAATCCATGTCACACGACCGTCCCTCCGCAGCTCTTCCTGACAATACGCAGAAAAACATGCACAATGATTAGTTTAGGATAAGATAAGAGGATAAAGGTCTCAGTTCCTGACATAATAAGACAATATTTAATTTTTGTATATTATAGAGTAAGATGTAAGATTTGGATGATGACTTTTCTATTAATATATAATATGCTATAAGAATAAACCATTTTTGAAAAATTTGGAATGGACAAAAATGATAACAAATTACATGGTCTTTAAGAAATTGTTAAATTGGAAAGGAATGAAAACATCTTAAAGGAACAGTTCACCCAAAATAAACATGAAAATGTACTCATCCTCAGCTCATCCGAGATGAGTTTGTTTCTTGTAGAAATGTAGCATTGCATCAGTGTCTCAGCATCGGATGCTCTGAAGTGAATGGGTGCCGTCAGAATGAGAGTCTGATAAAAACATCACAATAATCCACAGCACTCCAGTCAACATCTAGAGAAGACAAAAGCTGAAACAAATCCATCACTTTTTAACTTTAAACCATTGCTTCTGACAAAAATACATTGTTTTTATCAGCTCTCATTCTGACGGCACCCATTCACTGCAGAGCATCCGTTGCTGAGACAGTGATGCAATGCTACATTCCTCCAAACCTGATGAAGAAACAAACTCATCCTAATCTTGGCTGACCTGAGGGTGTGAACTATTCCTTTAATGCTTTACTCACATCTATAGTTGAGTCACTGAAGTATTTGATGAACTCGGGGCCCATGTAGATTGGTGGCTTACATGTGATAAGGAACACTGTATAGAGAAGGCACGGTAGTTCGCAGTTCAGAATCACAGTTTTTGCTCTTGATTATTTTTTGCAATCATGTTTTCACGCTTCCCATCATTTATTTACCCACACACAGCATGAGGTAGAGAAGGCCGAGTCTCAGATCCACTCGAAAAAACAGCACCACATTCGCCACCTTACTGAAGAGAAATATATTCCCTATGTGCTGCTCCAGTGTTACTGAGAGAGAGAGAGAGCGAGAGATCACTCCTCAGTTAAAGAAAGCACCATGCATCAATACAGATATTATTCACGAATATCTTGTGTGATTGTGTGTGTAATCTGATCAATGTAATCACATTTAATGCATGTAAACGTACTGGCTCTGCGGTTCTTCATCATGACAATAGCACTGAGAAACATTAAAATCTCCACCTCCCTCTACACACAGAGCAATTACACGTGTTATTCAAATATATAAACACAGTAGAAAATATATAATTGCATATATACATATATATATACACAGTAAAAACAGTAATATTGCAAAATATTATTACAATTTAAAACAGCTGTTTTCTATGTGAATATCTGTTAAACTCTAATTTATTTCTGTGATCAAAGCTGTATTTTTCTCCAGTCTTCAGTGTCACGTGATCTTCAGAAATCATTCTAATATGCTGATTTGCTCAAGAAACATCTCTGATTATTATCAATGCTGAAAAAAGAAATCGTGATACACGTACCATTCGAAGGTCTGGGGTAAAAAAAAAAGAAGAAATTAGTACTTTTATTCATTAAATTGATCAAACGTTTGAAAAAAGTGAGATTTATAATATTACAAAAAATCAACTAACTTTTTACTCATCAAAGAATCCTGGAAAAAAAAAATGCATCACACAAATATTAAGAAGCAAAGGCTCTTTTTCACATTAAGAACCGGTATTAATCGAGCATCAATAATAACTAAGCAGCAAATCAGCATATTAGTATGATTTCTGAAGATCACGTGACACTGAAGACTGCAGTAATGATACTGAAAATACAGAGCAATAAATTACATTTTAACATATTCACAGCTGTTTTAAATCGCAATAACATTTCACAATTTTTACTGTATTTTTAATTAAACAAATGCATACATAAAATCAAATGCACTGTTCTTACATGCATATGTAAGTTATATAACTATGACACTATTGTATAAAATACACTTAGATACTGTGTTAAATAGACAGTACACACAGAATGCATGCAAGTGTTAAATAGACAGTACACACAGAATGCATGCAAGTGTTAAAGAGACAGTACACACAGAATGCATGCAAGTGTTAAAGAGACAGTACACACAGAATGCATGCAAGTGTTAAAGAGACAGTACACACAGAATGCATGCAAGTGTTAAAGAGACAGTACACACAGAATGCATGCATGTGTTAAAGAGACAGTACACACAGAATGCATGCAAGTGTTAAATAGACAGTACACACAGAATGCATGCATGTGTTAAAGAGACAGTACACACAGAATGCATGCATGTGTTAAATAGACAGTACACACAGAATGCATGCAAGTGTTAAAGAGACAGTACACACAGAATGCATGCAAGTGCAAAGTGTTACAATAAAGCAACAGTAAACTATCATGTCAGCTTAGAAAGTGAGCAGCAGCACAGACCCAGTCAAACGCGCAGGAGTTGCTGTCCTCTCTCTGAGACGGTAAATACTCGCACAGGCCAGGACAGCTGCGCACGATGGGGAACGCCACGGTCATCAGCAGTGACAGCAAGTAATAGGGCCGATAAAACCATTTATAAACCTTTGGAAGACAGTATAAAGTGGAAACCAGTCCTCTAATTAAACTCATTGCTGCAGACGTATGACAGACTCATGCATGTGCTGAAGTAAAGCGAGGAGAGAGCAGAAATAGATCACTGACAGCTGAGAGTGGTAACGTGAACCCTCAGGCCATAGAAATGCGTTTCGAGGAAACGATTTGAAACTGGCGGCTGCTCGCTTGCCGTAGTGTGGTGCGTACTTTGTGCTCGGCTGGGACTTTTGTAAACATCTACAGCGCGATGGAGGAGTCAGAGAAGAGCCGGCTAGCCAGCTGCAGACTTTAGTTCAGGTAATAACAGCTGATAGTGAGGGGCGCTTCCAAAACGCTGCCAGTGTTGCCAACTCATTTTCAGGGGAAGTTGCTAAAGGAAGGTCGATTTGTTGCTAAATGACGTTGTGATGTCATTGCGTGATGACGTCATTACATAATCACGACGCACAATTGTGTCGCTACATTAAAAAAATTTTTTTTTTTTATGCCAATTTAGATTTGTTCGTAAAATAATATAAATGCATTATATAATGTTAAAATATAAATAACCATTTTTATATGCAACATTGAATTATTGAACACTTACACGTTTTTGAACGATTGCACGTTTTTTTTCATTGGCTAGTAAACTTGTAAAACTACACATTCTGAACAATTATAGTTTTAAGCAGTGTATTAGTAGTCAGTGAGCTACACTCTAAGAGAATAAATCACAGGTTTTTACCTGCAATTTAAATTACGCATTGTATTTTGTGTTTTCTGGGGTACAACGGATAATGTCCTGGAAAACTACTTGTAACTTTGACATTTTTCTAGATATGTTTCTTGCAGTGTACTAACTGATCAACAATCACAGGTACAAGCTACTAACAAGGTGTATCATAAATGAACAATTGTTAAATTATTATTATCAAATTGAACAATTGCAAATAGCAGTAACTTAATTCACGTGATGCGTGTACTGCTAGGCATCTTTGGTTTCCTCTTTTTGTGAAATGTAGATGAAAAATGTGCCTTTTTATTGTTTGAGCCACTTATCAAAAGTTTCTGAAAGTAGCCAAATTAAATTTTGAAATAGCTAAATTTGTTGCTATAGGTGCTTTTGGAAGAAAACGTTGCTAGGGTAGTCTGAAAAGTTGCTAAATTTAGCAACAAAATTAAACGTCTGAAAATGTACCTACAAGCCTCTTTTGTGTTCTTCTGTGCCGCCTCTGAACTTATAAGACAAATAAGTTACCAATCATATGAAATTAGTATTAATAAATTTATTTGTACTACAGAGGCGGCACAGAAGAACACAAAAGTGGCTTCTAGGTACATTTTCAGACGTTTAATGAGGCTCAGAGGTGACATGAGTGCAATTAAATTCATGATGAGATTAATGTTTTTAATATACAATTTTGAATACAGAGATATGATTCAAATAACTTGAATTCTAAGCTAAAAATTAAACTAAATCCGCCAGCAGGTGGCGGCAAGTCACTGATTTTATCACTGAATCATTCATTCAATTGATTCGTTCGAACGGCTGATTCATTCAGGAATGAAGCAAGTCTTTATGAACTGACGGAAATCCGTCGTAGCGACGGAACTTTAATCCCAGAGTGAAGCCTGAATATAATTTTATTCTGCATCTGCAAGGTTTATTTTGATTTTCATTAATGTGTACTTTTTTCATTAAACGTCTTATGCACGTATGCACAGTGTTGTTTCATTGTCTCTCTATAAAGAATTAATAAATGGGGGAAAAAAATCACAATGGAAGAAATAAATAAATGAAAAATCTCCATGGCAACTAGAATTTCTAAAAGTATCTTAGTAACTACAGTTAAGTTTCTAAATATATAAATATGGTATCTCCTGCATTATATGAAGCCTTCGTAATCTTGCGGTTTTTTCATTGTATTATTGATTAAAGTGTTAACGGTTTTATTATTATATTTAATATATTGGTGGAAACAATATTCACCATGGCAAATAAATACACTAATAAAATTAAAGAAATTCAAGCTTATTAAATTGTAGCCTGTGCATTAACAGAAACTGGCTGTAAAATAAGGTTTTTGTTCAAAAAGCCAAGTGACATTTCAGTGTATGCATGTCAAGTTCCTGGTTTTAATCCAGAGTACAAGCATATGACAGATTTGGCATTTTAATAGTAAAACTAGTTAAATATAACAATTTATTAGAAATAATTGGAGGTGTGCTGTGAATCACTAGAGGGTGTTGACAATCCCTGCATTATCAAGTAGAGTGCGCTTATCATCGTGTCATTACGGTAATGTTGATAATGTGGTGTAGCAGACCAGGGTTGCCAGGTCCAAGGGTTTCTCTCGAAATTGGGCTACTTTAACCCTGTTTTTTTACAGTCTATGCTTTAAAGGGATAGTTCATCCCAAAATGAAAATGTGATGTTTATCTGCTTACCCCCTGCAGGGTATCCAAGATGGAGGTGACTTTGTTCTGTGACATTTAGCCCTGGGATGCAGATGTAGTCAGGGGAGCCCTACCAAAACCGTGTATTTTACCCTCCCACACTGGAACGCGATCGGGCGGGTTTAGTTGTGAAAACCTGGCAACCCTGCAGCTCGAGACGCTTGAACACACGGATTTTTGTGTGTACTTTTTATATTGTATGCGCATGATTTCGTTTCAGAAGTTATGACGGAAATATTTTCAACTTTGTTCGGACAAAATGACTCTCAGCCAGCCACGGGGCCAGCAGCTTTGGGGTTCGGCCCCGGGAAACCTCCGCAGCTTGGGGGTTCGCCCCCGGGAAACCCCAGCCGCCGATGCCGCCAAACCAAGCGCCGGTGGCGGCTCAGATTCCAGGACAGCTCGGGGATGAGGGGCCTACGCTGCGAAAACCCGGTGCTATGAACGAACCTTTCTATTTACTTCGAGAACTGCCCGGTAAATACGTCCGTGGTGCTTAAGGATACAGTACAGCGTGTGTGTGACTTGTAATACTAAATCTAGATGCGCTTTTGTGTTTGTTTTGTCTCAGTCGGAAGCGACCTGACGGGGAACACGAACCTCATCACGCACTACAGTCTGGAGCACGCGTTTAATAAGTTCTGCGGCAAGAAAGTGAAGGAGAAGCTGAGCAACTTCTTACCAGAGTTACCAGGTGAGGTTAATACGAGTGTGCTAGAGCTGTTTGTGTTTACATAATATATATATATATATATGTGTGTGTACATTATGTATGCATATATATATAAATACACAAACATACATGTATGTATTTAAAAAATATTTACAAGCATATATATATATATAGAAATATAATTTATTATATAGAAATATTAATATTTTATATATAAACAACATTTTTGTTATATATATATATATATATATATATATATATATATATATATATA